GTATTCTAGAACACAAAGGGCACGAGCCTTTTCTAGAGCTTGTTTCTCACACATTGCCTTTCGCGGGGACCGGTGGTAGAAGCGGTACCGTTCTTGCCTCGCAAGCGAGATGTCACGGGTTCGATTCCCGGGCCGGTGGAAGTTGTTTGGACTTACTTCCTAGCCCCCATTAGTCCCTGTTCACCTAGCAGTAAAGTAGGTACCTGATGTAAGTCGAAAGTTGCGAATTCGTATTCAGGGAGTTGTTGGAGCTTCCAATAACTTGATGACATAAACAACTGACTCTTCAGGCTTCTACGCCCTTGACTCTTCATGCTACGCCCTTAACTCATGAGACATAAAGGCAAGCATGATCTTAGCATGCTTCCCTGTTGGGCACTGTAAACGCTTCTGCGCTTCACCTTACACAAGGATGTAGGGGGGGGTGCCAAAGAAAAAAAAAATATTGCCTTTCGCTTCACTGATAGTCATTAGGCCCACGAGTCGATTTCTTCATGATGATCCTTCTGGTCTTTACTTGCTTTCTTCTTGACTGTCCTCGCTTGGTAGCAGAGCCATGTCATCCATCATCACCGCTTTCTCCTCAAAGTATAGCGCTAACCACTTCACCAGCCCCGATGTATGTCATCATCCACACGGCGTTCCCTCAATTTTGGGGGAAGCTAAACCACCAACGTTCTGAAGGTCTGTCGTGTTTCAAGTTCAGACATCAAAATCAGATTCTCCCGATGGCTTACTGCACCCTATAGCTGAGACCCCAGTTTCCGCAACCCTTCGCCGTTGAACGCCCTGACTGGGCGAGCGTCTATGAGACCTTTCACCAGCTGGTCATTATACGCATACTTATTTCCAAAACCTTGCCTTCAAGATCTTGATTGCCTTGTTGTAGGCCTAATCTGGCTCTAGATAGTCACATCCAATGATTGCTTTATGCAGCTCTTCTCCTTCACAAGCATCCATGTGCAGTTGGTACTTGTACTTCTTAGGCACAGCAACATTTGTCCTGTATCAACGGAAGGCATGCATAAAGGTCCAAAACTCCGCCAGACTTGTGGCAATGCGGCATACGCATCGTGGCCACTAATTCTCTTATTTCTTCACCCGTCCCTGGTTTTTCTTGTGGATGAGTCTTTGTGATCTGAAGCGCTTTCTTTACAAGTGTTTGCGGGAAAGATAAGGCCATTCGGTCGACATTGATCGATGCCTGTCGCTGGGTTTCTTCCAGTACTATTGGCTTCTCATAATTGCTGGAGTTCTCTGTCGAAAGCTGTGAGCTATCATTTCTTCACATCAGTGCTGATGCATTTTGACTTGCCACCATTCCAGTGTGCTTCGTCTTCATCCACTCTACCTTAAGTTTTCCAGCCACGTGTGTTTGATTATTGCACACTTACTCATGCCCCCAATACTTTGACACTATGTCTAGGCTTGGGTTCATTTGATGGTCACGTGCGTGTGCCTCGTCTCTCATTCATTTATTGGGGCACGTAAACAAGTTCCTTTTACTATTACTCACCCTTACTATCTCTCCATCTCCACGCCCAATGAACATGACATAACTTACAACCTAACATATTAATTGTTTATGGGTCATCCTGCTGATTACTGCTTGTGGTAAGACTCTTAAAATATCAAAGTATAAATACGATATATTAAGTACGAAGAATGGTAGATTGACCCTATGTGCATGTCAGTCCTCCAGCCAATCAAGTGCCTTGCTGCAAAGTGACCCTACGACTAATATGCAAAGTTCGAGTGAACAGACAGCGGTGAACCTATAAGTCATATTTGTGTTAGGATTTTAGAGTAGGGTTATAATCTATATATGTATAAAACAAAGAAGTATGTCTGTGTGTTTGTTTGTTTGTGTGTCAGCACGAGAATCTCGGAAACTACTTTACCGATCTGTAGTGATGATGGATGGCGTTATATGTAGTGATGATGGATGGTGTTATATGTCGTGATGATGGATGATGATGTTATATGTAGTGATGATGGATGTTGTTATATGTAGTGATGATGGATGATGTTATATGTAGTGATGATAGATGATGTTATATGTAGTGATGATGGATATTGTTATCTGTAGTGATGATGGATGGTGTTATATGTAGTGATGATGGATGGTGTTATATGTAGTGATGATGGATATTGTTATCTGTAGTGATGATGGGTGGTGTTATATGTAGTGATGATGGATGATGTTATATGTAGTGATGATGGATATTGTAATATGTAGTGATGATGGATGGTGTTATATGTAGTGATGATGGATGATGTTAGGTGTAGTGATGATGGATATTGTTATATGTAGTGATGATGGATATTGTTATATGTAGTGATGATGGATGGTGTTATATGTAGTGATGATGGATGATGTTAGGTGTAGCGATGATGGATATTGTTATATGTAGTGATGATGGATATTGTTATATGTAGTGATGATGGATGATGTTATATGTAGTGATGATGGATGTTGGTATATGTAGTGATGATAGATGATGTTATATGTAGTGATGATGGATATTGTTATCTGTAGTGATGATGGATGGTGTTATATGTAGTGATGATGGATGGTGTTATATGTAGTGATGATGGATATTGTTATCTGTAGTGATGATGGGTGGTGTTATATGTAGTGATGATGGATGATGTTATATGTAGTGATGATGGATATTGTTATATGTAGTGATGATGGATGGTGTTATATGGAGTGATGATGGATGATGTTAGGTGTAGTGATGATGGATATTGTTATATGTAGTGATGATGGATATTGTTATATGTAGTGATGATGGATGGTGTTATATGTAGTGATGATGGATGATGTTAGGTGTAGCGATGATGGATATTGTTATATGTAGTGATGATGGATATTGTTATATGTAGTGATGATGGATGATGTTATATGTAGTGATGATGGATGTTGGTATATGTAGTGATGATGGGTGGTGTTATATGTAGTGATGATTAGACAATAAAATAATAACAGTTTAATGTACTAGAAGGTACAATACTGACAGGAAATGCAAAAGGAGAGGATGTTTTTATAACAAGGATACCTCTCATCACCTGCCATTTGAGTTAAAGCGACTTCAGTTCCCGGTTAAAGTGAGCTTTGTCATGACCATCTACAAAAGCCAGGGACAGTCCCTAAAGATGGTTGGCCTAAACCTGGTGTTTCCTTGCTTCTCTCATGGACAGTTCAATGTTGGATGCTCCAGAGTGGGAACTGGCAAAAATCTGTACATACTTGCTGCTAAAGGTAAAACCAAAAATATGGTCTACCTTAATGCACTACAGTGAGACAATATGGAGCCTCCCGGAGGGTGGCGTCCTACCGTGGCCTAGCGGAATTGCCGCCAGGAGGGCGGCACTTCCGCTAGTTATATTTATAGTAATATACCCATTTGTAACACTTTCCACTTGTTAATATTCGGCCAGACCTATATGACTAAACCAGTTATACCGAACAATGTGTTTGTTTGTGTTTTTTCTATAATATTGATTTCCCTTACGCTAAATTAACGTAATTCAAATTGATTCTCTGTACTGTACCTCTGGCAGATGTGTTCAAAATTAAATGTAAAGAGTGCGGCCAGACATATGGTCATACACTACAACACTATACGTCTTAAATTGTGAAAAAAATAGAACCTTATAGGGATAGATCCAAACACACGGCTTTTGCAATGGCATGGCACTTTATCTCTGATGGCAAGATAGCTGATATACTTAGGATGTATTCATATTTCACATCTAGCGCCTAATCAAAATTCTATGTTCCGACTTAAACAAACAATGTACTGGGAATACTCGGTAATATTCAATGCCATAATACTGTATCATTATCACTGGGGTCCGATACACACCCCTTGTGGCCTCTACTCTGTAATCCATTTTTGCGCCACCTCCTTAGGATGAGTATGGGGTGTACAATAAACTAGCTGCTGTACCCGGCAAAAACAAAAGAACTGTGATAGGTTACCGTCATGCTGACAAGAAGACCTTGTAATTTCGATATACCCTTATCGTTACACCTCTAATGCTCACTTGCCATGTTCAAACCTTTGTCGAAATTGAAAACTGAGACTTTATATTAATATTCATAAATGTCATGGTTAGGGAGATTAATGGCTAACATGCTGATTGACAGTCCAATCCACTGGACAGTGGTGGTGGTGCAGTCACACAGCCTTACTCTGTGGTGACGGTAGGAAGGTCTACTGAGTCACAGTGTTTGCTACAATATTTTAGCCAAAGCATTGTTAGAAGACCGTATCAATCTAACCAAAAAAACTACATAACGTTACCTAACTTCTTAACTTTTCCCGGTATTAAACAGAAGGCACTTAATATGATATGGTGTAATTTTATGTTACACCATGTCATATGTTACAGTAAGTTATTAAATTACCATCATCATACTTCCATCTTCTCTTTACATCACATCATCATGATTATATTCTGCTAAGGTGATCCAAGTAGCATATGTAACTAATCAGAAATATATAATTTTCACTCCAAAATAACTTTCATCAGCTCATTACTTTACAAAATTATGTGAAGCAGAGTGTTATGTCCTTAAAATTCTTGGTGGTATCTAGTAACTTTAATGAGCAGTTATGCCCTATATCACAATAAAACTAAATGTGTTCTAATAAAATACTATTAAGTAATTTAAAGGGAAACTTATGGTTATTGATTTTCGGTATACACACTCAATATTATATCCAAACATTTCATAAATAATGAATAGAAGATCTTTAAATACAGATAAAAATTACCGACAGACGGTAATGTAAGAACTAATTGCGGCATAGCGGGTTTTATCGACAGCAGTAAGCCCTATCATGTTCGAATAAAAGTTATTTTAAAGGCCGATGGATATTTTGTAGTTAATATACCCTTTTTCGTCTCAAGTTCCCTTTCCAATTTTTACAGTGCACAGTACAAGGACTAATGATATAAACCTCAATCTTTATTATTCTTTATCACAGGAGCTCCACCGCCGCCTACTCACGCCATCAATCGGGGCATTGCTATAGAGGGCATCGGGTGTATAATAGCAGGATTGTGGGGTACAGGAAATGGAACTACATCCTACTCTGAAAATATTGGTGTTATCGGTGTTACAAAGGTAAGTTTCCTCTTTACCTGCAGGGCAAGTGTACCATTTACCATAAACCTATTTACTTATCCATCTACCTGTTTCTACCAGTCTTCGGACAATGTGTGATATATGTACAATAGAAGTAGATATGACTACCAATCACTGTGTTTCTGAAGGCCAGCACTCGACGTTTTGTTTCTTTATCAATGGATTGGGCTGAATTTTTAATCAGTGTGAGGACCCTGCTAGTGATGTTTCTGCCGAAGTTTGAGTGACATTGTCAAAATTGTTTATCATTATTTTGAGGAAAATGTGATTTCAATGGTGAAAAATTTTACCTTACCAAATGTTTCAGGAACTAGTAATTTTAGACAATGCACAAAATTGGGGTAATTTTTTGCTATATAATGTGCAAGTAATGAGATATAATTTTTTAAAAGTAATTTGCCCTATTTTTCAAAATTCTTGTACTCATTGCATAAAATCGATATTGAGTACAACATATATTCACCGTACGTTTTTCTCCCTGTCAATGACAATTGTATAGCAACTTAAACTTCTAAAATCACTCCAGAAGTTTTGGATATATTTCTAAATTTGTGCTAATAGCTTACACTTCGAGCTATGGGCGTTCAAGTTTTTGTAACTGTAGACCTCCATGCAATTCAATCAACACTGTATTATTGTCTATTGTTGGCCTTCCCTCAACTAATATGATGTGAGGTCACATAGTTGTGGTGTTAGGTGAGGTCTGGGGTGGAAAGGAGGGTTGGAGGGCGATAGAAGGAGGAGCAGAAGGGGTGAGATTTCTGAACTGTAGATACAATGCAATTTTCTTTTCTTCACAGCACCTCTTTATGCTTTTATATTATCATCTCTAAGTTGATTGAAGCTGTAAAAATTCTGTGAAACAGTATGGATTTAGAGGAAGCAGCTGTAGCGCTGCACTGCACAGCGCCATCCAACCTCATAACTTGGGTAGCCCGACACAGTAAGCACACAAATACTTTAGTTGCCGTTGCTGCCGGAGAGGTTATCGTACGATATGATTTCATGTATCAAAAAAAAATAATAATTGCATAATATAAAGTTTATTTTAGTATTTGATAAATAAAACGGTAAACATGCAACCCCGCGCCCCACCCCTGGTCCCCCCTAATGGGCTCGCTCTCCTATAATTTATTATATCTCAGCCATTTTCATCTTAGCCTGTCATATTTCACCACATTGCCCTGAGGCGAGCAAGAACTTGTGGGGTTTTTCTTCAGATTATCGGATATTTAAAAAAAAATTAAGTTGAGTGTTCAAAAGTAGGCACTATTAGTGTGTTTGTGTGGTTATGCAATTGGGCACTGCTAGTATGAGTGGGTACTAATAAGGAAGCCCTAAATTTCTTTGGTTATGTAGGTATTGTGGATACTATCATTACATAGTTCTGCTATCGGTAATAGTAGTACTGCATGTAGTGTACTAATGTCGTGTGTGGTTCTGTAGGAAGGTATTGACATTATATGGTTCTGTAGGCAAGTATAATTGTTCTATTTTGTGTGATTCTGCAGCTTAACCTAGAGTCCTAGACATTACCTGATACTCAGTAGGTTGGGACTAGTAGAGCACTTGGTGCTCCAGGTAGTACAAGTCGTGTGTGTGATTCTGCAGGTAGTTGCTAGTTTTGTAAGAGGGGTATTTCCTGTGGGAAATAATAGCGAGGGAGACTCTGCAGCTGAATACTAGTAGTGCACATGATTATCTAGGTGGTACTGTTGTGGACTTTTCCAACTGTTTTAGTCAGCGTTGTCAATCCGTGAGGTGTGAACCCGAGAATATCGACTCGGGAATCCGGGAGATGACGGGGTTCAGTGTGTGAGTGGGTGGAGGCTGGGGGTTGGGCAGGGTGTTCGGAGGCAGAGGGAGGGGAGAGGTGTAAGGAGTTACTTGTGCAGTTACAACAAAGTATATATTAAGTAAGGATATAAACAGATTGGACAAAAGACAAATTATGCTTAGAATGTTTTACCGCACTTTCTGTTGATATGCCTAGTTTGTGCTACACGCCTGAGTAATATGAGATTATTTATTTATTTATTCATTTATTTATTTATTTATTTATTTATTTATTTATTTATTTATTTATTTATTTATTTATTTTTTAATTATTATTATTTTTTTAACTCTCGTAAGCTAGGGGTCTCAATATGGTGTCGTTTCATGAAAGGGTGACTTACAAGACCCAATACATAACGGACGTAACATCAAATTGTTAATATTATGTAATTTGCAATAAAAACATACCGAATAAGCTGATTCTGCATTTCTCCAAGGCCTCACACAAAGCCGTCGCGGATCGGTTTAATTGGACGACAAAGTATTACAAACAACAAGAGCTCACCCTTAAATTCATAAAAGGTAGGAACCGAAACTTCAAGTGTTTGACCCCTGAGGTCTATGAAACACTTTTAGTGTCGGGTTTGACAGAGTTGTCCTCGAGCCCCCACCAGCTGACACAGATGAATGTTGTCACATCCTAGTTAAAAATTTCCTTTATTCGCCGTTATCGAAGATGCTCGTGAATTTAATCCTCGTGTACTCGATATACGTCGACAATACCATGGGAATTTCCAGCAAGTCGCCGTTGTTGTTAAATGGAAGGGGAAGAAGTGTCCAACCACTGTTGAGGCCCACCCAGTCCTCCCTCCACTTTATGCAGAACCCTATCATCCCGGGCCTGCTTTTGTATTGTATGTTGCCATTTGGGTCACACTATCGCTGTCTGCTGCCTACTTGGTCGTCCTACAGTGCCGTCTGTGCTCAGAAAATCAGAGTCTATCGTGATGGGGGTGGTGTGGGCCTGGTAGTTGAACCCAGGTGATGCAATTATCAACACCGACACAATGCTGACTCCCGGCACTGCCCCAAACGTCCGTCTGTTCCTGGGGACAAGCCTCCCCAAGACCTCCTCATCCACCATCTCCCCCTCTGACTTTTGCAGGGCAGCCCTGCTCTGCTGACCCCTTCGCCTTCCTCTCTTTGCCCCAGGCCACGCCTATCACCGTCACCTCCGGTGCCACCTCATTTCCATGCTGACGCTCCTAGGCCTCTTACCCGTCTGTATGCCGACGCTGCCATATCTAGTGCTGCCTCCGCCCCCTCCAAACTCTCCTCTGGCGAGGGGACACATTTCATGTCCCTCCTTCACAAACTAGAGAGCTGTGCCCTCCTCTCCCTGAGTCTCGGTCTGACTCCTCTCAGCACCCAATCCCCATCTACTCCGTGCCCAACCTGTCCACCCCCTGCAGGCCATGTCTACTCTTGTCTCTGGAATGCCTTCACCAGGGATATTTCTTGGATCAGGGGACGCGGGAAACCCCCCCCACACTTCTGCTCTCCGCTCGCCTTTGGATCATACCGATGACATGCACGTGGACTACGTATCTCCGCCACGATGGACGTCCCCCATTAACCCTTCGACCTCCTCCTCGTCACTGCAACTACTGACTCACACGTCATCAAACTAATGCTAAAAGGTTTATCCCTTAATACTGTCAATGCCTATGCGTTTCCCTCCACCCCCACCGTGCCTATCACCCCACAACACAGTCCCTAGCCGTCACCAACACCCCTTCCTTCTGACCAAATATCCCTCCTCCTCCAGACAGGCCTGGCACTTGAATTATTATGGACTTGCCATTTCTTGCCATAAACAGATGTATTTTGTCGGGAATTTTCCCCCCGACACATTTATCCTGTCACTTATATAACTTACCGATAAAATCCGTGGCCCTTAAGGCACTTATGCCCTTAAATGCATGGGTTGACTAGGCATGCATGAACTCAGCATGTTGCCGCGGAGCAAATTGTAAATTATGTTGCAATAATTTTTGGGGGGGTTATTGTTTTAATACAGTCATGCCATTTATTCATTGACCGGTTTTACGCTTACTCTCATTTACAGGTTGATCAGTAGTTAATGCCTCGCACAGGTCCCCTCTCTTATTATGGTTGTGTGCAGGTTAACGCTTAGCTAAGCATCCATACAGATTTAATTTATTATTATTCAACATGAAGCTTTTTACATAAACACATATAAAGTTGAGAAGTTTGTATCAATATTATTCCGCAACTATGACATTCATAAAAAAATCAGTTAAAAGATTTAACGAGCGTTATGAAACGTGGCAGCCAAAGTGCATGTTACGGGTTTGTGACAATGTTTACTCGATCTTTTTTTTTGTTTGTAGTCAGCTCAAAGAAACGTGATTATTCATTTACTTATTACATGTTTGAGCAACGTTGATGCTTTGTATGCTTCTTTGTTTTCATAATTATGCTCTCATAGATTGATTAATGTAGTATGGGAGTTTATCACATCATACACCTAACTAGCGTGTGGACTAACCTCCTCTGGGTCAAACATGGGGGTTTGTATGTGTCTTTATGATAATATTAGTGATTATCGTAACATAATCATTTTATTTACGCTTACCAAGTATAAGGAAACAATATTCTAGTCTTCACTGATATTAAGGTGATGTAAATTTAGAAGTAGCAAGAAGTGTCTAGCGGGTGTCCTGGTGGTCTGCTTTCCCCCTCCCCCATATCTCCCCACACACACACCCTCGCTTTAATAATAAACTTATTCGGTTTGTATTCTTAAACTTTAATGACAAGTTGTAGCGCGATTTTAGGAACGTACAATGACAAAAAATAGCGCTATACCGTTAGAAACTGTGAGGGAACTGCTGACTGTTTCATTACATAATGCTTGTTTGCCTCTTGTTCTTTCATCACAGCATCCCATATTCCTGACACTAGGGTTCAAGAATACGACCTATTGACAAAGATGGTGGCTGGACGCGGTATTAGCTGTAAGCTGTGTGTATAAATACAAACTTAAATACAAATTAAAATAATGTCTTGTTCAAGATATAAATTTTCCTTCACACTGAAAGCAGGAAGCTACTCTAGCAAAGTCAATGCCCTATATTGAAATAACAAAATATCCGTAGACAAATCACGAGCCTAATTTTTATAAACGATAGATAACATATGGATTGATATTGCATTTCACACAATGCTTATAAAGAATATGTATTGGAACGATTAAAATATTTATTGCCACAAGATATTACAATGTCATTGCAATAATATATCAAGGATGTTTATTTGTATACATGTATGAAAGGTAATATATGTAAGACGGTAAGGAATACAACTTGTTTTTGAAAATACTAATAGATACTCATAGATTGTTGATACAAAGTTAATAGTTGGTTACCGGGGTTGTAGGCTATCATTATAACGCGTTGAGTAATGGTGAGTCAGCTGATAGTTGTTGTGGTTCACCAGTATTTAGATTTAGATGGAACATAAAATTGGAAATGATTATTTTGACAATGACTTTGATGAAACAAATCCTTAATCCTTAATCATTATATAAGCTTATAAAACTTCAATTCACAATTAGTGATATGTAATGGAAAAATATACATTTATCTTTAGGCCAAATATTTGCTTTTACACTTTAGAATGATGCATTGATGTGTGTGCGTGTGTGTGTGTGTGTGCGCGCGAGAGTGTGTGTGTCTGTGTGTGTGTTTTGTGTCTGTGTGTAATAATTAATAATAATAATAATAATAATAATTAACGGTTTATTGAAAGAGCTTGGCAGCCAGAAGGCTGAAAATATACGGTTACATAATTGGGGAATGGGTTTCGAATTACAAATAATATACAAATAACATAAGTGATATATAATAACTAGATGGGGAAAAGCTCAAACTACAGGGCATTTCAACATAGTGACAGTGCAAGAAGTAGTATTTATTGGGAGTGAATACACTGGTTTATTACAAGTTATTGATAATTTTTACAATGGTTGGGACTGGGCTGTTCTAAAAACGATCAGTTCGTGCACGTATGGGCTGGATGCGGTTGTGGTGTCGAACAGCAATTCTCGGGCTAGGGATCTCAGGTGGTAGTAGGAGCCGGTGTCGAGGATGGTGCAGAAGCTTCTTACCAAATTTGCAGATGAGGTCGTGGTGATGGTCAGTGAGAGTCGAAAGGGTCAGTGTGTTGAGCACTTCTTGATATGTGGAGTAGGAAGGGGAGAGAATAATCTTGCATGCAGTCTTTTGCACTTTTTCTAGGTGTTTACGTTGTGTGGCATTTAGGGAGGAAGACCAGGTAGGGGAGGCATAGATGAGCTTGGGAAGTATGAATGTTGAGTAAACACTGAGGAGCTCGGGTGCAGGAACTCGGAGGGACTTGAGTCGGCGGAGGAGGTGGAGACGGAAACTGGAGGATTTGACAACTTCACTGACGTGTGGTTTCCAATTTAGTTTGTTGTCTATGGTGACGCTGAGTAGCTTCGTGGAGTCTACAACCTGGAGTGTGTTCGGACCTAAATTAATGGAAGGGGGTGAGACAATGTCGGAGGAGAGGTTGATGTGCATAGCATTGGTCTTGGTATGGTTGATGGTGACGTGGTTGTTGGTGGCCCAGTTTTGGAGACTGTTCAATAAATCCTGAAGGGCGGTATAGTCGGGAGCAGAATTGTTGACGCTGATCCCAATGGTGGAGTCGTCGACATATTTCCAGCGAGCGGGGGTTTCTTTTAGGGCATCATTGATAAGCATAAGGAAGCAGAGTGGTCCCATCTTGGTGCCTTGGGGGACGCCAGAGGTGAGTGACTGAAAGGTGGAGACAGCCCCTCGGAAGTGTAGAGCTTGGCGTCGGTCACTGAGGAAGTCTGTAAGCCATGGTATAAGACTTCTCCGAAGCCCGAGGTCAATAGCTTTGTTGATGATTAAATTGTGGTCGACTAGGTCGAATGCTTTAGTGAAATCAATAAGGCGACAGCTACAGAGGTTTTTCGTTTTTCGAGATGGCGGTATATGTAATCGAGAAAGCTGACAAGACAGTGAGTGATGGAGGAAGTTTTCATATTGCCAAATTGCTGAGGGTCTACGACTCCTGCAAAATCAGCATAAGCCCAGTCGAACACAAAACTTTCACAGATTACGATGGGTATTAGGGTGATTGCAATAGGTCGTAGCTGATTTAAGGATTGTGGGCTGGTTGACTTGGGCACTGGTGATACATAAGAGGTCTTCCAGTCAGCTGGGCATCTGGCTTGACTGAGAGAAGCATTGATGATGGAGCATAGGGATTTAGCAAGCTCCGGGGAGAACTCCTTGAAGAGTTTCATTGGTAAGTCAATGGGGGTGGTAGAGCGTTTTAACTTCAGTTTGTCCAGACGTTTTGCTACTTCAAATTCTTCTACTAAGTCAGTGGGAAGGGGGGGAGGTAGGTAAGCAGGGAGAGTGGTTGTGTCAAGCTGGGGGAGCGTCTGGCATATAGTAGCGAAATGGTTATTTGATTGCTCAGCTTACCATACCATTGACTGATGTTGGTCTGCTTCAGGTGTTGCAATTTGGTTAGGCAGTGAGACTTCTTTGCATTGCGTATTTCGAGGATGACTCGGTTGCGAAGGGACCTGTAGCGGATGTGGTCATTGAGATAAAAGGCTCTGTCTCTCTGTTGCATAAGTCTTTTGATCCGAGGTGTGATCCAGGGCAAGTCAGCTGGGTGAGATCTGACGAACTTCTCGGGGAAGAAGTGGTGGGGAGCTTCCGTGGTGGTGTTGGTATAATTTTTCCATTTGGTTTCCACGTCATCCACACTAAGTACTTCAGTCCAGGGATGGTGAACTATCCACTGCCCGAAGAGGCGCACTGCAGAGTCAGTAATCGGCCTGTAGGTCTTGATGTAAGTTCTCTGTACTTGAGTGGGAGTGGCAGCTGGGGACCAGAGCACTGATAAGTGTGTGCGACACCCTATAGGAGGCATTGGTTGAGGTGGTTGGTACTGTTCCGTTAAGTCAGTTAAGATAAGGTCAAGGGTATTTTGACCGTGTGGGGAAGTTCATAACTTGGGATAGTGACAGCTGGTCCTGGATATCAGTGGTGTCAATTTCATTATAATCCCCACATAATACTAACTTGGCTCTTGGGTACCTAACTCTGAGGTGGTCTGAGGTGGTAATGAGATGATTGATAAGAGTGTCTCTGGTGGGTGAGCGAGACAGATTATGATGGAAGCAGTGTGGCGTAGGTGGGCCCATGGCACAACACTTACCCATAATGCTTCCACATCTGCTGGGACTTGAACATCCAGGCGTGACGGACGTAGGTCATCTTGACAGAAGAGGGCAACGCCCCCTCCGCGTCTATGTGAACGAAGGTGATGAAAGAGTTGATATCCCTCAATATGACACGTTTCAGGCACAATTTGCCAAGCCTCACAAAAGGCAACGACGCTCGCGGCGGCTGACCTGACTGTAGTTGCCAGCTCGTCAAACTTGTTAGCTAGGGAAGTGACGTTGGATAGCAGTAGAGACGGGAGATCATACTATATCCGTGGAACTTCAGTGTAATGGTACGGTCTGTCAAGGGTGAGTTTCTCCGGTTTCCTAGTGGAGGTTACGCTCCTAATGGGCTTATTTGTATGACCGCCC